TCCCCTATCCAGAATATGGGAAGATCCTGTGACTTCTTTCCTCGTTAATACTGTAATGATTTCTTTTTATTATTACCTGAAACAGTTATAATCTTGTGCCTGAGTAGCATCCCACCTCTTAAAAATGATCCAGTAGCCTCTGGTCCCTTGCCATCCTGATGTGCTCTACCATGCATTTCTGTTGCATATATTTATGGAAATAAAACAATTATGAATTTCTCACTGAATGACAGGCCTTGGTGCCATCACAGATGGGACCCAAATCCAGAGCAGAATGCTAGCAGATGCTTCTTTAGGAAGTGTAGCTGTCATACAAGGCTGAGTGGACACATAGCCCTTTCACCATAAGAAATATGTATGTTGTCAAGGGAGAAAAAAAAACTATTTCAATGGTTTATTTTATTTGAAAGAACAAGATGTTCTTTCATACTTCTTAGATCTGGATTAAGGGATTAAGCATCAAATCAATGAAAACAATAAATTTCATGATTTTTCTGCCAGAATACTGTGATGGATGACTTAGAAACTCGGTTTCCTCAAGAGTGTCTTTAGCCAGTCATAATTTTTTTGTTTCTGGTAGCAGCAGGGCAACAGTATTGTTTTCATTGATATTTTTATTATATGTTAGAGAATAGCACAGATCTTGGAGGCAGAGTTTGAGTTTAAGGATGAAATGTGCGGGGACACATACAAAGTTAAGAAAGGTTCCAAAACTTTCTGAGCCTCAGTTTCCTCACCTGGGAATTGTGATTGTTCTCCTCTGTTCTAGCCAATCCTAAGTAAACCTATAATTAACCTCCTTGCTGCATCATCTTCCTTATCTATGAAAAAGATTACCAGTGATTTCAGGCAGCAACAGTCAATGTCATTATGCTGTAAAACTGAACTTGTGCCGCAGGCAGGCTATGATGCCTAATTTCTCCTCAAAGTGGCCAAACTAGCTCATTTTAGTTGGAGAAAGCAGAGGGCAGCAGGATAAATAGAGAGTTCCTTGGATATCAAATTAATTCCCACAAACAGTTTAGAAAAGCAAAGAGTTCCCTGGATTTGGACTAGGAACAATGCTCTGGAAACATCCACAGACATGCATATAGGAGAGGGAACCTATCAGAGAAGGGAGGCAGTGGTGAGGAGGAAAACATGCCAGACCCACTTTGGGRGGCAAAAGTGAGTTGTACACAGTGCCCCTGGCTGCAGTCAAACCCAGCAACCCAGCAAACTCCCTGTTCTCAGCCCCACCCTTGGCAAACTCCTTCCAACTCATTCCTTGGGAGGTGTGTTGGAAGTGGAGTAAGCAGTCAGAGGTGTTTGAGATGGCAGCAAGATGCATCTGTGACTTTATTTTGGAGAATAAGGAAAAGAACATATACTCTAATGTATGAGATTGSATAAGAGTAGTGCACTTATCTTGCTACAGTATCCTGCCCTTCTGCTGGCTTCAAAGATATGAGCCACAAGGAAATGAATTATGCCAATAGCTTGAAGAAACCCAACAGTGGATCCTTCCCCCATTGAGCTTCTGATGAGACCCCAATCCTGGCCAAGCACCAATTTCAGCCTGATACAAATGGGACAAGAAGAAATACTCAGAGGCCAGCTGCCTATCTGTGCATGTTGAACTTAATTCACCCTCACCCCAAGGCCTCGCACCACAGTTGCTGCTACTATTTTTCTTCTCTTTTATAACCACAGGCCAAGCAAGGATCTATCTGGGCAACATGTGAAGAAAAAACAACTCAACTAGAAAGTTCTTTCTCAGCTTATCTGCCATCCATGGTCCTTAGCCTTTGTCTCTGTTAGGTCACCATTTCTACCTCCTGCTCCCAACCTTTTCAAACAATGACCCAACCAGGCTCTGCCTCCCTACCTGCTGCAGGATTTCCCCACAGCTTGCAAAACATCTACACAAAAAAGGCAGAAACTGTAAGAGTACATAATACAAGGCATATTCACAAGTGCAGCACCCACATGTAACCACCCCAGTCATAACAGAATTACTAGTCTCCCAGCATCAAGCCTTTTCATCAATGTATCTTTTCCATTGTGAAAATATGCCACAGTTCATTATTTCACTTTAATGTTGGTGAATATTTAAGTAGTTTCTAGTTAGGGGAAAATACGAACAGAGCCACTATAATCACCATTATATTTCTTTGGTTAACATATGCATTCATTTGTGATAGGTATTTTCCTAGAAGTGAAACTGCTAGGTCATAGAGGGTGCATGTGTTCAGCTTTTAATAATATTTCCAAGCAGTTTTCCAAAGTGCTTTGATCAGTTTACCTCCCCACCATAGTGTATGATAGCTCTTCTTCCCCCTCCACATCCTTACCAATACAGAGCGGTTTCCCATCTTTATCACTTAGGTTAAACCAAGTGCTGCTTGAATGGCTTAAGTTCTATATTTCATCAATGTTCCACTCACTGTGTACAATCTTTAGGGAGCACTCATTGTGTACAATCTCTAGGGAGCAGTTCAGGTGAGGTGCTAAAAGCTRTGTGTATCAGTCAGGGTTCTCTAGAGAAGCACAACCAATAGGCTGGAGACCCAGAAGAGCTATTTTTCACTTCAACTTCCAAGGCAAAAACAAAGACAAATGTCCTAGGTCAAGGCAGTGGGTGGGTGAGAGCCATCCACATGAGGCTGCTTCACTCTGTTTACTAATTTAAATGTTAACCATTCAAAAAACACCCTCACAGACACACTCAGAATAAAGTTTGACCAACTATTTGTGTGCCCTGTGACCTAGTCAAACTGACACATAAGAATAACCTTAATACCATGTTCATTTGCCACCTGGTCTACAAAAATTCCTTCAAACTGTTGTATATATTCCATTGTGTGTGCACACAGTTATGCTTTATATAAATGATAATAAATATGCTTATTACTTTGCTTAATATTGTGTTTGTGAGTTTCATCTCTAATGTTATTTTTGGCTCTACACCTTTCATTCTCATCACTGTATAGCATTCCATGGTAATTATTCACCCAGTTAAGAAGCATGTGGGCAGTTTCCTCTTTAGGATGTCTCATTGATTTTTGTCAACTTGAAATTTAGATTGCTTCTGTTTCTACACAATGTTGCAAAGGCATCTTGTACTTATCTATGAATGTTTTCACTGAGAAACCTTAGATCAAGCAATGATCTGAACCATGAGTGGAGAGAAAATGATACAACCTGAAAGGTCTTTCTCCACTTATCTGTTGTCTATGACAGCTGCCATTTTCTCTCTTTCCACCCGTCCACACCAAACTAGCTTCTGCTCTTTCTCAAAGGTTTCCCACAAAAATTTTATATTTTTTAAATAAAACACACAAACAGAAAAGTGCACACATTTTAATGGAGTAATCCAGCAAATTTTCCCAAATCAAACACATGTAAGTAACCCAGATAGAAATGGAAAATTACCAGCCTCTAGGAATGGAATAACGCATCGGAGGGTTTGTAATTGCAACTCTGCTAGACACTGTCAAATTGCTCTTCAAAGTCACCCTATCACCTAACTCACTTCAGAAGTAAAAATGTACACCCCTTTTTTCTCAATCCTTTCAACACTTGGGAGGACAGGTAGTCATACCCTAATTTTCATTATGCTAATTGGTAAAAATTCTCATTAAGTTGCTTTTCCCTGTTAAYAGGTTTAAGCATTTTTCCATGTTCATTTGTTGGCTGGAATATTTGCCAGTTGGAATCTTTTGCTGTTGGGTTATTATTTTGTTTTGGCCCTTTTCTAAGAACTGATAACATCTCCAGTTTTCTGGAAAGCCCCCTTGTAATGGTTTCTCCTTTATTCCATATGTAGTATCTTCCTTTCTGTAGCACACTGTTCTCTTCTTGTTGGGAGAAGGGGGATGGATTATGCAAAGGTTTGCTTACGAGATTTCATGGGGTCATTGTCTTTTTTTTAATAGTCATTAAACCTGCTACCTCCTATACCATGTGCCATAAACCACTGCTGGCCTATTTGGCTCAGAGTGTTTTCAAGTCTGTGCTCCAATGTTATGCTTGGTTGTCATACAAGCAGCTTAGTTCCTGATGATTTATACCTGGCCTGCTACCGTACACATATTAACCTCTCGTCCTGGTAAGCATTCGGGATTTGATATAAACTCATCTATGTTTCAGTAAATCACCACTGTCTAGAAATTTCAGAAGAGAAAGGTTAGCAGCTCATTTCCATCTCTGGTTATGGGATGTTGGGCAAGTCACTTCATCTTGTCCAGCCAGCCTCTCCTAGTGTAAAAGGAAAATATAAAGTTACTTTCACTACCTACATCCCAGAGTTGTGGAAATCCAATGGAAAAATCAAGGCACAGGTCAACATGCATTGCAAGTTTGCTAGTGAAGCAGGAACATCTATTATTCTTTCCAACTCCTCTTCATAGTGTCTAGAATGCTACAATGACCTTCTTTCCACCCTTACCCTGAGTACTGTTCCAGGCAGGAGTTAAGGTGAGCCCACAGCAGGTGAGAAGATTTCACCAGGCCCCTCCTGGTCACATCAATGAGGGATCATGGATTACACACACACACACACACACACACACACACACACACACACACACATCATTTTTCTGAGAACTACCCTTTGAAAACCTAAGCAGAACCACAGGTGTGAAACACAAATATGCTGTTTTCCTCCATCTATTGAACAATATGCAGGCTACTGAGTAAATGGCTAGGTGAGGACTGTAAGAAAGCAACCTTAACAGAAACAAATGTATAATTATGATTGATTTCAGAAGTGCAAACATGACCTGAATTCATTGACCTGCTGATGAGTCCAGATTTCTCAATTACTGAAGCCGGAACAGAATGGGAGCCCATTGTGTCAGTTAGGAAAAGCACAGCAGAGCAGGAGGCCCATCCAGGCACCATGTCCATGACTGTGGGAGGCTCCCCCCTTCCCTCAGGGCAAGGCCCTGGCCCTGTGTGGGACTGTGGGGCGACCAGGGCTGTGCTGGCTCCTGGATTGTAGCTGCTGAGGAGAGAGCAGCACGTGGATCCTCCCTGTCGTCAGGCAGAGCTCTTCAGTGAGGTGGGCTCAGGGAGGGCTCTGTGCCTCTGCTCAGCCGAGCTCCAGCCAAAAGCCTTGGAAATCAGAGGAAGTGCCAGGCTGCAGCTGCTGCCCAGTTCTCAGGGGACAAGCTAGACCCTCTTACCTGGCTGCAGGGACAGATACAGCAAGCCTCAACCCCTCCTGAGCCATGCCAGCCAACCTCACAGAGGGCAGTTCCAATTCCACCCAGACCGTGCCAACAACACTGGATTCATCCCGAGTGGCTTGCACTGAAACGGTGACTTTCACTGAAGTGGCCGAGGGAGAAGAGTGGGGCTCTGTCTACTCCWCCTTTAAGGTAAGTGTTCCAGATTCCATGCTGAATGTTGACTTTAAATTATGGGACAGATGGAACTTAGGAGGGCAGTGAAAGTATCAGCCAGTACTGCAAATGGCCATTGTTTGTTTTCTTTTCTAAAAAGAGTAAAAGAAATGATAGTTTTAAACAATGATTTTCATAGTGTTCCAAGATTTCTGAATTATTGATTTTTTTAATGTATACTGGTGTATTTTCTTCTGCTGATGAAAACTTGTGAATCGTAAGTAATATTTGTAAGTGGAAGATTCTTTTACTTTCCTGTTTTCATTAAGTGAAAGCACTTCTAGCTAATTCTATAGCAGTGCTGGAGATGTCTGCTTCTAGTAGAAATAGTGAATTTGTCAAAAATAGACATTTCTAGTATATGTGTGCTCACTGTCAGAGCTATGAGTCTTTTTGCTAGGAGCATTAGAGGTACAGAAAGCCCATATTCCCCAGAGCAGAAATGGGTGCCACTAGAAAGATCATGCCTAGTGAGATAGGAGGATTACACTGCCTTTGTTGATCCTTCTCCTTGAACATGCATGAGAAATAGATTCTTGGACTCTAGTTGGTGGTGTCCCTGTTTGCAACAAGTTGCTACCCAGACACATGAAACAATCAGTTTGATGCCTTTCACCTTCAGAGTATCCAATGCTCACGTTGAGGAAAAGATCACCATTAAGATAATACTGTTCTCTCCTTTGGGAAAAAAAAAATCTTGTGGACAGAGAGAAATCATGTCCCTAGAAAACAAAAGTTTCCTGCCTCTTATGTCTGAATGCTGGCTTGTGGGTTATTTTACRTGCTGCCTGCCCAACGTTATGTTTAGTCCTTGCAATAACTCACAGGTCTCAAACTGGTCCTTTACACTAGAAAGAAAAATGCCTCAAGGAAAATTCTTATTGTTACTTTGTTGTCAGTAATGTTGTTTTTAATCCTCTGGGTGTTCTTGAAATGATCTGACTTTTACAAAAAGAGGTAGAATTACTATAACAACCTTCTCTCTACTGGAATTTCACTTCTCTGTGAATACTCAGAATAAAACTTTCAGTGGGGAACTGTCCAAGGAGTCAGCTTCCTATTCATGGGAAAAGAGACCCTGTGGCAGTGCAGATCCTGAACAAATCACTTACACTGGCTGCAGGGGATCCAGTCCCATGGAGTCACATCTGAATGCATTCACATACACAGCCCAGCTGCTCAACTCCCGCAGCACAGAAAGTGAAATYGGAGTTTGTTACCACTTAACTATTGACTGAATAATCCCTTTTATGAAATCAGCCTGCACACACAGATATTCTATCCTGGCAGGCGTGGTACACCCAGGAAGCTCCCGACTCCACTAGTGACACCGTCTCTGAAGGCTTTGATATTTATAGAACATGACAACAAACAGAATGAAGAGGCTGGCCTTTGTGAAAAGGATAATAATCAGCAATAAGGGAGTTGTTCTGAAACTTGGGCAATAATCGCTCCCARTGCAAATCTCATTTAACATCTTTTTAATGCAGCACGTGAGAAGATGTTTTGAATGTAAGAACAAATCCCACTCACTCGCTGCTTGGTGTTTGCACTTGGTCCCAGCATCATCATCTGCAGGCACTAAAGAGAATACATCTCCTGCATTTCATTCCTGCTAACACATCTGTGGACAAAACACTTAAAGAAAGAAGCAGAGAGAGGAATTATGTCTAGGCGGGAGCTTGGATGGTTCTGCTTCATTTTTGAGAGATGTATTCGTCCTCTAGAGCACTGAGTGTTAGGGACACAGAAATCAGGGGTGGCATCTATGGGARCCTAGCTTAAATATTTTAGTGTTAACTTTTTGTGGTGTCTGAGCAAAAGCAGTTTTGATACACTCTTGACACAGAAATCGTTCTGCTGCCTGCTCCTGGTTACTGTGATTCCTTTTGTYCCACAGACTTGAGAAGTATGTCAAAACTGTGCCCTGTGCCTATGTCCCTTTAATTCCTGTCACCTGCACAAAAATCAGTGAAAATAGCCCCAAATTAGACATGGTGATAGCCATGAAAGTAGCAGAAATAATAGCTACAGCAGGAGTGATTRGTATCACTTGCTGTGGATTTTCTTGGTGCCCAGAATCTTGCTGTCTGACCTCTGTGGAGTATCTCATGTAATTCCCATAAACCACTGTGAATTTCCATTGAAACTACCTTCCATTCTATGTTAATTATACCCCTTCTTTAAGGTTCAGTGAGAGCTGCTTCCTCCATGAAGCCCTCCTTGACTCATCCCAGCAGGTTATGGTCTGAATCTGTCTTAAACTGGTGTTTCTATTCCGGTTGAGTGGATGTGTTAATAGTCACGGAGCATCATGAATGAAAGAACTACCTTGCATTGATTTCATATTCTCTCTKGGATCCAGGACCATGCTAGACATGTTCAGTAAACATTTACTGCATAAGCAAAGTGTGGTGTGCTTTTTCTGTCCACTGCCAACATTTTGCCAGCATGGGCAACAGAAAGCTTGCTTTCTTCATGATAAAAATCAGGGGAGACCTATAGTCCTGCCTGGTGTCTAACTGCTGTACTCACCAAGGACTCTCTCTCTCTCTCTTCAACCACATTCAACTCATCCCTGTTYCCACTTTAAAGTCAATAGGACCAGTAAGTTATAGATCCCAGTGGGTGGACTACTAAATGTACTGTGGCACTGCAGGCTGGCCCCAGTACCGAGTACAGCCCTCGGAAGTCACTTCCCACCACAACACAGCCTTATCTAGTCTCAGAACCCAGGGATGTGGATAGTAAGGCTGCTATCTTAGATTCTACCTAGCACTCTAGTTCTTCCTTTCTCACCCTAAAATTCTCTTGATAGGAGATAAGACATCCTTGTCTATATGTCTCTGGATCATGCTTCATAAGCTAGAGTCTTCTTCCTCCCATCTCCATCCCAAATTCAAGTTTCTAGGAGATCAGACAGGAGGTTGGGGTGAGTTCACCGCCATGTTCTCTACAATGGCACTGTGAGATTCACCCCTCGTGACTGTGGGTTCACAGTCACAGGGTTCTTAACTGAGTCATTGTCTCCTTCACAGCTGCTGACCTCTTCTACCTTCAAGTCCTATCCAATTTACCTCCTCATTTCCCAGCCACCAGCATTAAGGAATTACAAGGGCTTTGAGAAACTACTAGAAGATTTCAAGGAGATGGAACCCAGCTCATCTAAAAGTACATGAGGCTGTCCAAATTGAAGACAAAGATGAACCTCTTCACACACAAAAAAAAATCTTTAATTTTGCTAGTGAATTTGCTAGTGATATTTTCTGAATCTCTGATTCATAGTGATGAGAAACTCAATTAAAATTAACTGGGTGGGAGACCTATCTGAATTTGTAAATTACCTAAATTGTAGCATAATGCAAATGAAACTCAGTCTTATTACTTCTAGGTGAGGAGAAAAGACTGCTAAATACTACCTAATGATGATCTTTCATTGAACTTCCTTTAATGGATAGTTACAAAGGATATGCAATTAGTCTAACTATTGTTTGTATGTAAATTGTTGCTTCTAAGTGCTTGGGGGTGATTGGACACAGTGTGTTCCCATGTTTGTACACCCTCCCTGCCGTGCTGTCTTACTGTTAATTTTTGCAACACACCCTTCCTCCATTAATATAATAAAAGAAAATTTTAGCTCAACTATATCCCAATTATCTCACACTATGCTTGAGAAAAAGCTCAATTTAAGAAGCTTAAGTACAGAATGCTGTTTCCATTACATTGAAGTTGACAATGCATTTCTAAGACCTTGTTCTACCCACGGTGTACCAGTATTTTCACCTGTGACTGTCATTTTGACCCCTCTTTGCCCTTCTGCCTGCTTCCCTAAACCTCCCTCTTTACCCATTATACCTCTCCAAGGCTTGCTGGTCTCCCCTCCTGCCATGGAACCCAGGAGAGTCCATGATGTCTTTCCTGGAATCCAGGAGACTTAACTTCCTGAACTTCTAATGTAGTTCCCACAATTTGCATTTATGTCATGCAYTTTTTTAGTTTTTTCCACTTGGTTTTACTCATTATGTTTGCTTGAGTTTCTACAGTTGAGTACCATGCTGTTCCTAAAGGAATTCCTACTAGTTTTGCTCAGTCGAGTGATTTTTATTAAAATCAYTTTTATTAAAAGTCTGATTCTTCTGCTTATTTCAGCTACACAGAACTAGCACTTGACTCTCCAATCGTCCACCCTGAGTGAGCGCTACCATGCAGTGTGTCTACCTTCACTCCATGACAGAAATGTGCAGATGTTACTGATGGGCTTGACAAGGATGGCATGCAGTTTCCCAAAACTATTTATATTGGTGTATGAGAAAGGGAAGCTTCTTCAACTGAGTTTCTCTCTGTATTATTAATGTATAGGACAGATGGCAGAAAACATAATCTTAGTTTAATTCAGAGCAAACCCAATCATTTTCCAGCCTACAAAAGTTTTCACATTCTCTGGCTTACTGAAGATACCTAAAACCAAGGGCATTGGTTCTGGGATGAATCCCTGTCTATGGTTGGGAGTGGTGGGGGTGGAAGATATCATCTCTATTTGGGTAAATTTGGCATCAACTGAAATGAAGAATCAGATCTCTTTCTCAAAAGTGGCCATCTTTGTTCTGAACCTGTGTCTGAGATCCTATGTGGCCCAGGTCAATTTCAAATTGCTTTCTGGGACAGCTTCCTTTTTTCATAATTCCCTAGATCCAAGGTTCTTGAATCTTCCTWTCCCCCTCTCACCCCTGGCTAAATTTCCACATCCTTGCTGGGAATGGAAAATTAGACAGTTCTCCTAACAGCTCTGGACTTCAGAAAAACATTTTAGCTTTGTTTCTGGTCACTTCTCGCCCAACACAGACACCTAGTGGTACTACTCCCGCATCCTCATGGCCAGTGCCATCTTAGAGTCATTCTCTGGTTTCTACACAGTGAGTGATCCTCAGCCTTCTTTTCATCCTGTGCTTCCAACCCTAGCAGGCACTCTCTCTTCC